TCGAATTTGGATATGCTAAAGTTCACGTTTACTTAAATTCTCCAGATTTGAATCAAAATCTCAATTTTTTAGAACTAGATTGAGATCCTTTTACCTTTCGTGTCTTCATGGTTGAATATTTTTTGTCATAAATAAACTCTAAATATGAGGAAGCATATTCATAATTCTTCTTCTTCAAGTGCCATCTTCGTTCCGAAGGTTGGCGATCATCAGGGCTATACGTATTTTCGAAACTGCTGACCGAAACAATTCGTTGTTGCTACAACTATACCATTCCCGTAGATTCTTTAGCCAGGAGTTTCGTCTTCTTCCTATGGACCTTTTTCCTGCTATATATATATATATATATATTCATAATTAAGAGAAGTTAAAGCTGGAGTTCCACAAGGAAGTGTCCTGGGGCCAGTGCTATACCTGCTCTATACCAGCGATATTCCTTTAATAGAACCTAACATAATTGCGAAATTTGCTGACGACACATGCATTCTAGCAGTTGGACTAAACCACGAGGATGAGCAAACCATGCTACAAAACTCTGTTGAACAAACTAACATCTGGACCAGGCGATGGTGTATCAAATTGAATGAAACAAAATCTGTTCATGTCAATTTTACTAATAAAAGAGAACAACATATCCCAGTTAGTATAAATAGAAACCAAATACCTTATGCAAATACGGCAAAATATTTGGGTATGACATTAGATTCCAAGCTACGTTGGAAAGCATATATTAAGAAAAAAAAGGAAGAATTAGAAATTAAGTTTAGAAAGATGTACTGGTTGATGGTAAAAAAATCCACTTTGTCTACTTATAACAAATTGTTATTGTATAAGCCTTAAACCGATATGGACATATGGGATATAGCTATGTAGCTGTATAAAAGAAAGTAACATCCAAATTACACAATGCTATCAGAATAAATTATTAAGGAACATCGTTAACGCTCCATGGTACTTCAGAAACTGTGATCTTCATCGAGACCTCCAGATGGATACGGTTATCCAGACAATAAGTAAGTTTGCCAAGAGTCATGAACAAAGGCTCTCCAACCACGTGAATGTCAAGGCCATCAAACTCCTAGTCAACGACAACCAGATAAGAAGACTTAAGAGAAGGAAGCAGTTTGAGTTAGTGCTATAAGTGAGTGAAAGGGGAAAAGCAGAGTGCGGCTAAAGTGTACACGTTAGCTAGTAGTACTATAATGTATTAGAGCCTAAGGAATATTGCTGAATGTAACCTTAGATAAGATTTTTGTAGTATTTTGTATATAGAACTAACTTGCTTATTGATCATAGTGATTGATCAGATAGCAATAATTAGAATACTCCTGTTGTTTTGTTAAATAAAAAAGAAATAAATAAATAAATGGTAGACTTTATACTTTAAAAATGATATTTATTCACCCATATTCTCGAACTCATTCCAATTCTGTATTACTAAAAATCTAAAAATAATGTTACAGGATATTGCATCGCAATGTAAAAGTAAACAAATCGATATTTTCGCAAATATTGTTATTTTTCATTTAGTACTGTCTGTCTACTCGTATTCACGGACCCATATTTGTTATTGAGAGTTCCAAACTACCGCCATTAAAGGTTGGTGCAAACACCAGCACAAACAATTATTCGTTCACGTACTGTGTTAACGTATTCAGTCGGGACAAAAAAAAACAATAACAAATTAATAGGACGATGATTTCGCCTATGATATGCATTGTTTTGATACAAGATGGCAAAGTTTGTATCAGTGAAATGATTAACGTTTTTTAATAATTGTTCAGCCAATCGGTCAAGGATGCCTTCAAGAAACTACCGACTAGAACAAACAATGACTTAAAATAAATGGACCTGAATCATCCTTGATATGTGAACAATATAATTGTTGCAGCTAATGCATAACGTATCTACTACTGATGCATGAGGACTTAATAATATATTTGCCACACGCATTACAGATTTCATCGTCGAGTTATGGGTTTTTTGTATTCTATTCCTTCAATTATATTTCCTTTCCTTGATTCTATTTTTCTTAAACTATCTATTAATTCACCTATTCGACTATACACTTTATTATTTTTATTGTACCTATATTGTTTTACTTTTTTTCATTTTGTTTTCTTCTTGCGCCAGCTCAACTGTTTCGATATTCTGTAGTACAGTAAAAAGTCGTTTTATTTCTACTTCTTGCAGTTTTCTCAGTCTTTACTGATTTTGACATTTAATTCAATGGTCCTCTCTCTTCCAATTTTCTTATCTAATTAAGCGACTGTTGTTCTGGGTTCTGTTTATTTCTTGTTATATTTTTCAGTTTTTCTTGTCACGTACCGATTCCGTAAATGATCCATTGTCCCACCATTAATTACATGCAATTGCTAGACATTTTGGTCTGCTAAATTTGCCTTATTATGAAAAAATACCATTTCTTGAAATGGATCGCTAGTCTATAGTGGTTGATATTTTCATCTGCCCAATACGCCACCCTTATTTTCACTATACTATTTTATAATATTAGGCTAATCAACTAGCACCCTCTTTTTTGTAACAATATATACTGCAATAAACTAGAAAAAACTATAAAAACTTGATTAAATAATAAAAGTTGAATATATTACTAGATTTTGAAAAAATGGTGGATTCACCGGGATATCGAAAACTCCAAAATCTAATTCATTACAAAAAGGGCATATCATATATATTTTAAATATCACTTTTTGAGGTCATTTTAATTCTCAGAGCATTTTATATGTTTTTTGTGTAAAGGGCACACCTTAATATTCAACAAGTCACATAAAAGTCAAACAAAAATAAGTGAAGTCTGTTTGAAAATTATAGGAATCTTGGACTTATGCCCCTTTCTAATGAAATAAAACGGAAATTTAATCAATGGACTTGTGTCCTTTTTAATTTGACGGATTCAATTATAGATCCGATCACTTTTTTCCAGTCATAAATATTGAAAAATAATAGGAGTATAAATAAGGTTGCTAAGGTTTTATGATTTTACGTAATAATTTTCAAATAAATCAAATCGGTTATTACGTAAGATATAATTAAAAATTGCAAATCCTGGTTCGTTTTCTGTGAATTTGTCGTTCTGCATCATCAATAAATGTTCATTACAAGGCAGTTTTCATATATTCTATCAAAATTGTAATCAAGACATTGGAATCTATCAAATGAGATTGCTAGGAACAAACCCAATTAAATAGAAAAATATGTAAGTAAAAACTTTCATTTGGCGATTGGTTGATTCTCTAAGCAGAGTTTAGTGGTTTACTGGAAGACGATGAAACAACGACATTGTGGAGAAAGAAACAACTAAAAAAACTGTTTATATGACTGATAACGTTTCAAATGGTATTAAGTGATCAAAATTCTGTCAGATTTAACAGCACTCGTCATTTTAGAAACTTCTAAAAGATGAGAACTGACAGAATGGCATAATTGGATTTCATGAAAATTTTAATGGCGTCTTACACAAACTCGTTTAAAAATGATACCTGCATTACGGTTTTAACATAATAAACAATAAAAGTTTCCATAAAAATTCTCACAAAGGCCATTTTAAACAATATTTTTTCTGGTATCAATTATTTATATTATTAATCACCACAATACTGTGTAACAAATTCACACGTGAGGTTTATTGACCACAATGTTTTTCTACCAAAATATTGCCCTTGTATTCTGTTGACAATATTGAGGCAGTTTTGTTTTGATATATTTATAATTTGATGATACCTAATCTTATTTTTTTACACGCTACAAATATACCACAACTAAGGAAGATGTGATGATGATACAAATGATGAATCAAACAAACGAAAAAAATGGAAGGAAAAACTAAGGAAAGAAATTCTATAAGAAAATTAGTTTTTGGGCACCTATATTGTTGGTTTTGTTTAATCTTCTCAGCAGACAAATGAAGAAATAATTGGCATAATATGATCCATAGAAATATGTCGGACAAATCATTATCAAAATGCTTAGAAAAAAAATAAGCTATGGAAATACACAAAAATCAAGTAACGAAAAGTTCAAAAAGTGATATTAGTAAGTACAGTTTTGAAAAGCGTTATAATCTCTAAGAGAATCTAAAGATTCTATCAGCCTAAGAAAGCAAAATACATATTCACAGTGAATTAGTTACGGTAATGCTGGAAAACGAAATAGGAATATGTTTTGATAAAAAAGAATGAGCACGAAAAGATTCCAGGGCACAATACTTGAGAGAAGACTATAACTCATGCATTTTGACAGTAATATTAACGAGAGCAGAGAGTTGGGTCCAACCGCAGAAATTAAAAGCTAGATAGTACAAGCTAGAGCTGCTTTTGTAAAAATGAGGAACTACTTTTCAACCACGATAATAGTATTGATTTTCGCATTAGAATGACATTGCTATATCTTTCCAGTGCTACTGTATGGAGTGAAAAAGTTTATTTTAAGTTAGGCTATGTTTAAACGCTTGGAGATGTGAGCATACAGACGACTACTAAGAATAAGCTGGGTCGATATAGTTAGAAATGAGGAGGTTCTTAGACGACTGAACCTAACAGCAACTGGTCAGTATAATAAAGAGACGCAAGCTGAAAAATATGAACTTTTGCATCTGATCATTGAGGGAAAGATCTAAGGTAAAAGTGGTCCTGGCAGACGAAGAACATATGGCTGAAAAATCTAAAATTTTAGGGAAAATCGACTACATTATTATTTAGAGCTACTGCGCAATAAAGCTTGACTGACCAACCCAAACTCATTTTTGACTCGGTTAATAAAAAGATAATAAGCAAGAAATTGGGCAGGGTGGGCAGGTCACAAACTAGAATTTTAATATGGCTTTCATAGAAAGAGATCTGCATAATATATTCAAGCATTTTTTGGATTAGTTACTTGCCAAGACACAAGTACTATGAATTTACAAAGAAACAAAGTTACAAATGCTGGTACTGTTTATACTGATACCCAAATTGTGAGGAAAAAGAAAAAGTACTCACCCTGGAGGTACACCCTGTCTATATCCTCCTTGATAACCACCTTGCTGCACTTTTCCTGCAGTTCCTTGAGCTCCTATGTAGTTGGGGTTAGCGGTAGGCGTCGGGCCGCCCGTATAGGCGCCCCCGTGGGGGCCCGACTGCGTCGTAGTGCTCACTCCCCACACCGTGGTCACGACCGACAACTGCTGCTGGGCGCCAGCTCCCGGTCCTGTCCAATCCCTAAAGCAAGAAAAATTGTGTTTATTACTAAAATTTTTAACATTTAGCTAGGCCTAGATGTTAATTTGACAATGTATGCAACTGGTAGAGTACCTACAACAGTTTGAAAACCTTCAGTAATAATTTTAATTATTAGAAATTCAGTATAAATTTAAACAATAATCATAATAGACTTGCATGCCTTATCATTCAGTGTTACTTATTTAATAATCTCATTGTGAAAAGCACTGTCAGAGAATGAGGAGTATAAACTTTGACAGTTAAGTCACAGTAGCAACTTAGATACTCTTTTTCAAATACTAACTGAAATATACAGAAGATTAATAAAATATTTGAGAATGTTCATATTTGCTTTGTATTTTTGATGAAGTATGTATAAGCAACATTTTATACTATAATATTCGAATTTGAGTCTGTTTCTATAATAATTTTTATAATATTTCAAGCTCTTTTGAACTGTATTATTTCAGAATATATTATTAAATTTGAACATATGGGCCAAAATTATTTTATAATCCAGTTCATCATTCATTTAGAAATACCATCATGTAAGTACCTATTATTTTATGTACTTGTCTCTTTTATTTTTTTGTATAGTTCTTAGTATTCATTTGCACCATAGTTCTGGAAAGTTCAGTAACAATAAAAAGAAAAAATGATAGGATTACAATGTGATAAAAGGGAAAAGCGTTTAGCCACATTGAATGCAGACATATGAATCACCTAGTACAAAGGGAACTAAGTCCCAAAAAACTGAAAGAAGAAAACCATTACAGGAAACAGTCAATAAGGAGATCATTCTCCTTTAGGCTTCATCTAAATGCTAGAAACCATCATGGCTATGTAAACCCCCTCGGCTGTGGTTTTGCATGGCTACATGGGGAACATTACTTCAGGTTCCCAAGGCAGGATATTTTTCATGTACCCACATATCTTTTAAGTTGAACACTGATATAATTATCTCATTCAACACAATAGATCAGTTTTATATGGAAAAATATAATAAAAAGGATATGCAGATTATTTAAAAACATGAATGCAATTTTTACTCCTTTTATGAGCATTTGTAAACACTAGCCAGGAGCCTCTCAATTAAAACTTGGTTTACACCAGATTTACAGTTTTAGTATCTGAAGATAATTTAGAAATTTATTTCAATGATTCTCCATTACAATAAAGCCAATGGATCACATGTATAATAAGAGAGAGAAATAATATAGTACTTGTATATGGGTGCCATATAATGAACCAGTGTTGCCATTTTTATGAAGACCTTTTCTTTACTTATAGTATCTTTTAGAGTCTCTAAAGTTAAAATTTTAGGTATTATGCATAAAAATTGTACACATAGATCATTCTAATACTTTTATGCAATGAACAGTAAAATAGATTAATAAAACATTAATAATAAAAAGAACTATTATTAGCATAAAACTAATATTAATTATTAATATAAACTGAAAAATAATAAACCCATCATTTGTATGATTTGCAAAATATATGTTTAAGTATCACTAGACAGATAAAATGATTTGCAGGTGGAATTTATGAAAAGGGCATAAATATGAGATTTGGTATACAGGGTGAATTCATTAAGAGAATGAATGATTGTGGATTCTATGGAACTGAAAAGAACATTGCAAGTTCAAGCATTTTATTTAAATGCTAATAATTAAAAAAAAATTGAAAAATTGTCATAATTTATAGACTATACAGTTCTAAAATCCACAACTACTTATCTTCCTTTCATTTCTAGTTAAAGTTTTGATCCACATGCAGTAGCTGCTGGTATCTAACATAATCTTGGATATATAGAAATAAAATCAGTTGAAATGCAACTGATACACACATTCAGAATTTCAGGAGAATTAAAATAATAAATACTGTAACAAAAGTTACAGACAATCAATAATGTCATTTGCAGACACAAACAAATTCCCACAAGCTTATAATAAATAATGATCCACATTACCATATTAAAGCACTGAATATCAATTTTAATAGATACAAAGTAAACATTTGTTAAAATCTCCACTTTTTGAATTCAAATCACTGAACAGCTGAGTCCAGTTTCATAAAATTATTCAGTATGAATTCCACCAATTTGAATCTAATTGGTGTATACATACAAATATTTAACCAGTTTCCAATGAATGTGATAAAAAGGTATAAATGAATTATTATCTTTGCATCTTGTACAATACTGGTTTATGTGAAAGCTACTAAGTACTTTGGTAAGAATAATCTTTTGATATGAAACCAGAATAAATTAATGTTAAATGATTGGAAGATTTAAATAATCGCTTTAAGAAATGTAGTAAAGTGAAAAATATATATTTGATTAGTTGATTGTAACATGATTTACATTGAAAAGGTATGAATAACTTTTAAATGTTTAAGAAACATTTTTGTTTATATCCAAAATTTGTGAACATTATTAGAATAAGTGGTACACTTTATACATTTCTATACTATAATTTTTAAGTAATTTCATAATTTTCAGAATGGCTGATAAAAGAGTTAAATTTTAAATCAAGAAAGCTGGAAAATTTAATTGTTTTGGCATTTAAAAAAATATGACATCATTAATTACAAAATAACAGGGATACAAAAAATTAATGTAAGAAATAAAATTATGCTGTTTATTTTTAAACTATCATTGTTCAAAATTGACAGATCTGTGACTCATTTCGCTAAACAAATACTTGGATTTTATACACAATATTAAAACAGTTAATTTTCTATAAATTCTAATTTTTCTCAATATTTAGAATAAGATATAATTTATCCAAAATATAGTAATCATTTTGGGAATGATTAATTGATACATGATAGATACCCTGCTAGGATGAATGAACAGACATTTTAAATGAAACAATAAATTCTCATTTTCAGTAAAAAGTAATTGAATTTGAATATTATTTTAATTTTATTTAGTTCAGTTAATAATGAAACTCTTAGGTCAAATTATTTTTAAAAATCTGTTTCAAAAATTCCATTAAAAATCTTAACTGTAATTTTTGGAAAAAATGTGATGGAAAGATATCATTTTGCAACTTATAATATGCTAGTTTTTAAATTATTTAACGTTTGATCCATACATACATACTTATATACATGTATTCATATAAAAATATTTTTTCTGGTTTGTTTGGGATTTGAAAAATTCAGTTTTTGATAAATATGATTAGTTTCTTTCTTTGACGTTTAAGATAAACCACAAATAGTAATTTAAAAGTTGTCAGTAGAACAATTTTACCAATATTTTGAATATCCAAAAAATTAAACTCTTCTGTAATTAAAACAAATTTGAAAAATCGCAATGCAATTTTGAACTTTAAAATACAAAGAAAATGAAAAATATTTTTTCTGATTTGTTTGGGATTTGGAAAATTCAATTTTTAATAAACATGATTAGTTTCTTTCTTTGATGTTTAAGATAAACCACAAAGAGTAATTTTAAAGTTGTCAGTAGAACAATTTTACCAATATTATCAATATCCAAAAATCAAACTCTTAAGTAATTTAAACAAATTGGAAAAATCGTAATTCAATTTTGAACTTTAAAATACAATGAAAAATTAATAAAACAAACACCACTCAAGAGAATACAGCCAAGATAGATCATCCAATAATCTGTCATTTTTTTAAGTAATTTGTCCATTATTGAAAAAATTACTTATTTGTTTCTTTCGATCTTTCAAAAAGAATGTAATTATTGTATTTTGTTATCAAAACCTTTTCCTCATGAAACTTCTTATTTTACTTTTTACTAAAATGTTAATATAAAGAGCACAATTAATAATTATGCACATTTTTTTTGTTTACTTTTAGATCAATATTCAAAATTAAGACATTTTCCTTCCGAACATTAAGGTACTTATATTTATAAAAAAAAAATGTTTTCTAATGCCTGATAATGTTCACAAATAAAAGAAAAGATCTTTGTAAAAATATTTAAAATATATCTACCTATGAGTAGTAGAGAAACCAAGTCTTAGTTCCAGAAATAAGAGGTATTTTATGTTTGATACTTTATAGCAATTAGAATTTTAAATTTTGTATTGGATTAAAATTATTTATCAAATTAGTCAAGACTTTCATTCATGACATGTTTTTTTGAAAATAATGTTTAAAAACCCACGTTTTTAACAATCATTTGAAATGTTAATCAAATACTTGCGTTTCAAATTATGTTGTTAGTTTGTTCAATTCAAAGCATGTAAAAACAGTCCTACCTCAATGTTGCATACATTGCATCCAGATCTGAAAACTAACAAAAAGCTCTAGCAAAAGATAGAGTCCATATCCTAAAATCCGGAGATGTGAGATACTATATCCAAACGACTTGTCGGAATAGGTGGTTAAAACTGTTGTGTGCACTTGATATCAAAACAAATTTTGTTTATCGCACGAGTGTTTATTTACCAAGGAAAGTTATTTTTTGCATTGCACATAATAATGAAAAAACACAAAATATTTTATAGTCACATGTTATTGTCACTTTGTTTTTGCTAATCCTTTGTGGAAACACTTATCAACACTAGTGATTTGAAAAATCCAAGTTCTCAAGAAATCGCTGCAGTCACTATAATCACTGTGTATTTCCTTTTTAACATCCAGGTAAAAATAATACCTTTTGCACAAGTCACAATAGAGTCCATATAGTCACTTCACTGTCCCAACATAGGTATTCAGTTTTGATTTCATCACAAGTCACTGTACACATTTATTGTGAAGTCTACAAAATTGTTTAAAAATGAACAAAAACAATGTTGAATTAAAAAATGATTTAAGAAAAATCTATAAATACTAACTGTAAAGAAGCATTTATTTTAAAGTATGAATTCGAAAATCATTACATATTAAAATTTTGTAGCCTACACAGTTTAGTTTATGTGAACAAGTAGTACTTAGTCCCAATAATCCTTAGAAGTCACTTAAATCCATAGTAAGTTTAAGGCATCAATTTTTAAACACCTTGTTTAGAAATCTTCATTCGTTTAAACACATAGTTAATCCTTTAAGTACAGTACACATTTGTAAAATCACTTATTTTTGTTGATGGCACTAAATTAATCCAGGAACTAAATCCTTGAGTCCAGTTTTTCACTTCACCAAATTCCGACAACTTTAACTCACATCTCCGAAAACTAAGATTTTGTCAAAAAAATCAACGAAATTACCTGTAGGAAGTATATCCCAGCATTTGTGGGTAAACATAAAGAATACAAAATTACGTTAACACTGCGGACTTGAAAGCATAATAATCCCAAACAGACAAATTTATATATTCAGTTGAGAACACACTCTCCGTGTGACGCGTACTTCTCCGTCCGAACACGACGTTCAACTGTCTGCCTGTGGGAGAAACAACGGCACGTAGTCCTCGTTGGTGGGGGGCGTAGGGGAAGTTTGACCCGACTGAAGCTCGTTCTCTCCTCCATTCCGTGCGGCCACAATATCGGTTATGCCGAGCGGTGTTGCCGATTCTCTGGGAGCCAACCGATACCGTGGGTGGGTTGATACTAAGCGAGAACTTCGGCCTTCTATCAGAGGCGTCGACAGAGATCGGCCAAGACGTTTAAAACTTAGTGTTTTAATAATGCGGCTGTACCTATGATATCACTATGCCTGAAAATTTCTCCCTGACAACCATGGTCAGTCAAAGAAATACGGGAAGTATCTTAAATAAAAAAAAATGCGTAAATAGGTTGAACAATATACAAAGTGACTAGTTAAATAATTATGTAGAAAGTAAAGTTTAAAAAACTAGAAAAAAGTTTGATATCGTAAATTTCATCTATCTCTTAAACCAATGTAACATAAAAAATCAAAAGTAAAACAACAGCAGTTGGAAATAAAATTATAAAAGGTAATAACAAGAAAAAAAAAAGAAAACCCACAAAAATACATGATAAAATAAATAATTCACATATTTCAAATTCCATTCGTTATAATGAGTTTAATTTAATTTTCGTCTCTTTTCCAATGCCGTATCATACCTCACAATCGGACGAACTATTCTACCCCCACCACGAAATGCTCAAAAAATGAGCAGAATGAACCTTCGCATTTTCTTTGCCTTCATTTTGTCATTTAATCTTTTACTGTTCTGTTGTGTTAATCAGCGCTGCTAAACAAGTTTTCGATTTATTTGATTGAAATAGGACCTACGGTTAGTTATGAAAGTTATGCCTTTGTAAAAACATATTGTTATTAGAAAAATTAGGTTCCATAAACACATATCATTGAAAAATGATTCATGTTATCTAAACACTGTTATGGACAAAGAAATATGTACTGCGGAGGCAATATCTGCTAAGATCGTATGATCATTAAATTCATACTTGCCATCAGACATAACATTTTTGTTGATGTTTAAACATAAAATAATCTGGTATTATTTAATATCTTAGTGGAAATTACATTTACGTAAACGGTCAATCGTCAAAAATGTAACTTATTATATAGAAAGACATCCATATAGAAGTACAGTTCAGAATATATAAAACCATCACACGACCAATAGCAATATAAAGCGCAGAAACATGGATCATGACACAAAAAAAAAACAATAAACCATATTATTACTATTGAAAGAAAGAAACTAAAAAGAATATTGGGGCCCATCTAGAACAATGGTATGTGAAGAATAAGGTTCAACCACTATCACAATATCAATATTACAAAGAATCCTCTATAGCAAATGATATAAAAATACAAAGATTAAACTGAGCAGACCACCTTATCAGAATGGACAACACCTAGTAGAACACTTAGTGGAACTATGGTGGAATGTAGGCGAGTAGAAAAACCAAGAAAGCAGTGTTTAGACGAAGTAAGAAGCGATGCTAAAGAAATAATGAGGGTGGATAACTGGATAAGAGTAGCCAAGGAAATGGATGACAGCGATGATGTAGCGCCATAGGAGAGAGATTATATTATATAGAAAGTTATAGTATAGCATATTAAACTGAATGATTACTATATTTAAAATGTCATTAATAAAATTAATTTTATAGTGTGTAATAATATTGTAATAAATTATATATAAATATTCATTTCATTTACTTCTAACAGAACAAAATAAAAAATCTTACTGAACAGCATATATATGAAATTAAATAATTTAATTTTCAAGCGATTGTAATTAAATTTTAAAAATTGTTTGATGACCACTGATTATCGCCTAATTACTAACCGGTTTTCTTATATGGCTTTTACTTTAGAAATAAATTTAAGTTGCTTACTAAATACATTGTAAGTCTGTCATTTATTTCTACTACCTAGTTATATATAGCTTTTCTGTCCAAACAGTATCATAAGAGTATCATAAGAGGCTCTTAGGTTTATGAAAAGTGTAGACGTGTTTTGGCATTTTTAAAGTCCTGCTGCTTTAAACAAGGTCAAGCTAAAGGTCTGGTCTGTGCACGCCCAGTTATAAATTCAGCATGTTCTACTCAAACGCTTTCTAAGATTTAGCATCAATCTCCTCAGTAGCTTATATTCGCAATTCAGAGTGCCATAGTCGGTAACTGGCAGCGGTACTCAAGGTTTACCAGGTTTTAAAACGGCGATGATTTTTTTAATTCCTTAGGGACGAGGTCACTTTCTAAGATGGCATTGAAAAAATTTGTAACCCACTGAGTGACAAGTCTGCTGTGGGTCAAGCATTCATTATGCATTTTTTAAACCCATATCCAAACTACCAGTTTTAACACTTCGGAATGCTGTAGATAGTTCTTTACAGTCGAGAACTTGGAGTTTCTTAATGATGAGTTTTAGTATATATAGTTTATTATTGTTTTCTCTGTCATGGCCCTAATCTATCAGGGCTCTCAAAAGAGTAAGAATTCAGGCAGATATCTGATTAAGGCTAACTAAAGAAGTTTTTCTCTGCCTTTCTGTTGAAGTACCTGCTGGAGAAATATTAGCTTTCTAAGATTTAGTTTTTGTCCATTGTATCCGACGTATACCGTCCAAGCTGGGATCTATTTCGGGATATTTGCTTGTCAAGGAGTTCTAATATAGACATTTACTTTCTTTGGTCCAGCAGGAATATATTATTTTTGAAATTCTCTAGGAATGTGATTCGTTGCTTTTCCTATCACTACACCTACGAAGCGACTGTAATTACATCGATTAGGAGTAATTCTTCTGAGTCGTTTATCCAGTTCTATTATAAAGTAGTAACTCTCAGTTAGCTTTTTGGAAACTACATCTCGGTCTTGGGAATGATTGTACTAAGTGATTTAAATTCCTATCTTTTTAAGAAATGGTCGATTATGGATAACTGTTTGGAAAATACTCCGAAAGAATCTTGTGATAGGAACAGGCTGGTTTCTATCATTTGTAGAAAAAAAGTATTGAAGTAAAAAGTTTATATTTCTTGTACAAAGCTCTAGATTTAAAGGTAGTTTTGTCCTTTGCATCAAACACAAAGTGGTAGGTCTTCTGCTTAGTCCACCAATAATTTGCCGCTTTTTTGCTAATATGTCAAATGTTGGGTGAGGTAGAATTGAGAAAAATTTCTTATAGGGTAAAGTATAATTTTAGCAAGATCAAGACCAAGACTGAACGTGCAATATTTGAGCAAGAACAAGACTAAGCCTGCAAAACTCTTGCGTCTTGTATTTAGGACTGAGTATCGTTTTAGGGAGTATAGTAGTAATATGCAAAAAATATGTAACAAAAATTTGAAAAATTGGACTTGTGCGCATTACGAAAAATACCATAAACATACATAGCGTATCAAAATATGCATTAAAAGAACACTTGACACATTTGACATGTATTCAGAGGTCATAAATTGCAATGTAAAAATAAAATATTTTGTACATTCTTTGCCAGCAGACGACTTCGTCGCTCTGAAATAAATTGTCCAGATTTTGAGAATACGAGTAGCCGCCCTCTAATCATAAAATACTCTTCTTGCGTTGCGACGCCGAGAGTAATATCGTATCGAAACTTTTAAAAAATATGTCACCTTAGCTGACATATCTTTTTCCTTCTATTCAATTTCTTTCCTTATTATTAATTTCGTTAGGAGGAATCCATACTAGAAGTCTAATCGGCCTAAGACTAAACATCGTTTCTGCTGAGTCTACGATGAGATCATTCGGTTAAACAAAATTTGCTGAAAGAGCGCGGCTAATATTCAAAAGAAACGAGGCAAATTAAAATTAATAACAGATAATGCCGGCTACCGTGTAAATAAAATACAAAAATAAGTAATGTAGTAACGATATTATATAATTCTCGGTTTGTTATTCGGTAATTACGATATTGGATAGTAACGAATATAAGGTAACGACTAGATACTTTTTCGACATCTTGGTGATCTCGACTTCACTTTCCCAATTGAACTTTCCTTCGAGTCTAATGTAATAATTGTTTTTTATCTATTCTTAAAATACAGTCAAGTTTATGTCATTAATTTGGTTTTTTTGTATTTTAACAATGTTTTAGCACTTCTTCTTTAGCCTTAAGTAATCCAACTTTGGATATAGGCCTCCCCAAATCAATCCAGTGGTTTCTATTTTGCGCCACTTGCTTCCAGTTGTGCCCTCCGATCTTCTTAATGTCATCAGCCCATCTCATTTGTGGTCTTCCTCTGCTTCTCTTTCCTAACCATGGTCCCCATTGTTGTATATCGTGGTTCCTTATTTTATCCTTTAGTCGGGCATTGTGTCCTGCGACGCTCCATTTTAATTTTGCTTCTAATCGATTTGTTTGTTTTTCTCACCCCGAGTATTGATCTTTATCCATATTAAACTTGGTGAGTGACCATGTCTGTGAACCATACGTGATTATAGGAAGGATATAGGAGAGGAGTTTGATTTTCTTTGTTAACTTTCATTATATGTCCCAGGTAGATGTATTCGCTTACTGATTCTAAATTTTTGTCGCTCAACGTTATTTCTCTAATGTTCGGTGTACTTGACATTATTTTTGTTTTTTCCAAGTTCATCTTAAGACCTATTTTTTCCGAAGCTTGAAATAGTTGCGTCATTATGGTCTATAGTGCTTCGAAACTAATAGCGAATATTACAATGTCATGAGCGTATTTCAAATGACTCAGTTTTCTACCATTATCATTCATTCATTTATCTACCCAGTTAATGTCTTCCAGTCCAAGTGTGAATAGCTTTGGTGAGATAACATCTCTCTGGCGAACTCCTCTGTTGATTGAATATCACTTGATATCACTATCATTTGTTTTAGCACATGTAAGCTTCTTAACATTAAGAAACATATTGACTCCCGTGGGACATGGTAGATAGCTCGGTTAGTTAGAGCATAGACAGGGATCGCTTAGATTGTGGGTTCAAATTATGTTTAGTTATTTCGTG